CCGCTACTCTCTGGCTTCTGTCCTTCAGCCAGTTCACAATCCACCTCACTACCCAATCATCCAGACCACACGTCCTCAGGTATTCCAGGTGGGGTCTCTCAGGAGAGCAGAGCAGAGGGGCAGAATCCCTCCCTCGCCCTGCTGCCCACGCTGCTTTGGATGCAGCCCAGGACACGATTGGCTCTCTGGGCTGCCAGCACATGGTGCTGGCTCATGTTGAGCTTCTCATCCACCAACACCCCCAAGTCCTTCTCCTCAGGGCTGCTCTCAATCCATTCTCCTCCCAGCCTGTACTTGTGCTTGAGGTTGCCCCAACTCACACGCAGGAGCTTGCACTTGGCCTTGTTGAACTTAGCAAACTTGCTGAGGGTGCATGCCATCCCATTGTCCACATCACTGATAAAGATGTTAAACAGCACCGGCCCCAGTACCTGCCGCTCAGAATACCAGTCTGCTTTTGCCACATCTTTGCAGACTCCTTGTAGAACGGCGTATGGTGGGAGGCCAGTAAAAATTCCCCAGCACTACAGATGTTGTCATTTAAAATCCCCACTCCTGCAGCAAAGTAGTAAAGACTGTGCAAACAAGGCCTTCCTGTAGAGCCCAGTGTAGATCTTGGACTTGGGGCAATTATCATAGCCTTACCGGGTCTTTCTGGAGAGAGTCTCCACTGCTTCCTTCTGGTCTCAGGGTCCTGACGCCAGGTTTGGGCTCCAGAAGCTGCGTGGCCATCAGGACGAGCCATCAAAGCCTTTATCGTGGGTTCTGAGAGCCAGCACAGCCCCTGGGGTAGGTGCCTACACCGTGCTCAGGACAGGTTGTCTAAATTCAGTCTTTTGTTCTTAGACACCTGAGCAGAGCTTAGTCTGCCCTCAGCCATTTTCTTTCCTGAGGGAAAACCAGTAAATCAGACCATTCTGAGAGGGGGGTTACTCTGCTTTTACAGCTGTAGGTGATTTTTTTCTTTTTTTTCTCCTTGAACTTGCTGAAAAGATTATGCTTTGGATTTGCTTTGCTTATGGATTTTTCCCTTTAGAGTTGGAGCCAGAGCTCGTGAATCCCCATTTAGGTGCTGGGCTTTGAGTACTCTGCAGGTCACTGCTCCTCCCCGGCACCTGTGTAGGGGCTCTGATCCGTATGGCAGCGCACAGGGGAAGTGTGGGACCACGAAGGTGTTCCTTTAGAGAACACAGCTGATGCGGCAGCGATGCTCAGCTCTTTAGCATGACTGGTTTTTGCAGAGCCTCAGTAGCCTAGGCCAGGTGACTGCTGAACTTTCCTGGTCCAGCAAAGGGATGGGTGACAGGCAGGGAAGGTTCTCCTGTCGTACAGCCCAAGTAGACAGTGTGCTGTGTGTAGTATGTGCTCGAGGGCTCTTTGCCAGTCTTTGGGGAAGTGTCGTGATGCCTGAGCCTCAACAGGTGTTACTTTTATTCATATCCTGCTGATAAAGGCCAGGGAACGGTGCAGTAAGGGAACGCCATCCATCCGTCAGTATGGAGATACCTCTGTCCATCCATGTCATTGGTTTTATACGAAGGTCTGTTCCTGGCATGCAAAGGGCACGTCATTCCCTGATGGTCAGCTGACAAAAGGCTCCTGATTGCGGTCTTTTTACATGCTTCTCGGTGAGCTTTGGGCCAGATGTCTCTGTCTGAAGTGATGCTTTCGTGCCTTAGTTGGGCATTGGTAGGTTTGGCCATCAGCTTCTCTCTTTGCCCTCGGGTCTGCTTTCAGGGTCTGCTCAGGAGGATTGCCTTCAGGAGGTGGTGGCTCTGCTCCTGCAGTAGGGCTGTAGGTCAGATTGCCTTCACCTCTGAAGGAAAAGCTTGTGCAGTGGCTTGTCTGCAGGCTAGTGGGTCGGTGTTCCAGACCAAAGAAGGGAAATCTGTCCTGGGCTTTAAGGTATTTAAGTGCCTTTACTGAAAATTGAGGATTTGCTGCCATTGCACTGCTCTTTGTCAGGAATAACAGCTCGTCTCCTGAGCGGGGCACTACTTTCTCTTTTGTCCTCTGCCTTTTCTGGAAGCCATGTTTTTGTGGGTAGAGGCTTCTCCGTACCTTTCTGGAGCCTGTAAAGTCCTGGTGGCTGAGGCAGGCTGTGTTTGTGCAGATCCTTCGCCAGTGTTCGCAGGCATGATACCACGGCAGCAGCCTCCTGGGAATGGCTGGTGTTTCTTGGAGGATTGCTTCCGTCTGGTCCCTCCCACAGCAACTGCTTGGGCTCGTTAAGCAGCACGGGCCGTGCAGATAGAAGCAGCCAGGCCATGTGCAAGGTGCCCCTTCACAAGGGCGCTCCGAGGCAGTCGTAATGAACATCTGGAAGCTGGGAGAGAGTTTTACTATTGTGTCCTGCAGACTTTTTGTCTGTCTGACCTGTTTCCGTTCAGCTTTACTGGACAGGCTGTGGCAGACCACTTGAGGAGAGGCTTTCCTGGCTGAGACTGGAGTCATTTAGTGTTGGAAAAGAAAGTGAAGCAGCAGGGTGGGCATGGTGATGGCTCACGGTGCCTATCTGGGACACCCTGCAGTTGCTTGCAGTGCACCCTGTTGCAAAGGAGGTGCTGCCTGTAAGGTCCCCATCGTGTACTGCCCTGCCTCAGGAGCTCGGCATGTTGAGATAGTTCAGCTTCACCCTGCTTCTCTTTTTTTTTCTTTTTTTTTTCCCCCCTCAGGAAAGTCAGGTGGGATGTGGATGAGGTAATTTAATTATGCCAACATGTTGAAAGCAGTCTGGTTTTCAGAATGTGTTCTGTCTCTTGGCCCCAGGTAGCTTTAATCACCCTTAAGTAAATTTGAGGAGACAGCCCCACCAAAAACCTGACTCTGCATCTCCTAACATGGTTATTGGGTGACTTGTGGAAGAGTTAGCACCTGCCTGCTTTTTCCCAGTGAGGAGATCCTTATGAATAGCAGAAAATGAGTTTAGTAAATGCAGAAATGTATTTAAGTGGACTGTGCTTTTTAGTGTGAATTTTCTGGATTTGGGAACAAGAGATTTCTGTTGGTGAGACTATTTCTGACATCGGTATCGACATCCGTGTGTGCTTGCCCAGAGAAATAAAGCTAAATGAAATATTCCATCAGTGCAAGGTAATCTATCAGGATCCACGAGAAATCATCTGCCATCTGGGGGAATCTTGTCTCTCGTTGGGATCTAAACGTGGTCCCTCCTACATTAATGAGTTGGTCAGTCAGGCCTTCGGTTGTTAGGTGTTTCTGCCTCTCTCTGTAAAAACAGTGTTTCTAGTGGCTTTGGCTGAATGCTGGAGAGGCTTATTTTTTTCATAAAAAGTTATTTGAGATGGGATTTTCCTCTTGATACCTCCAAAACCTTGTGTCTTAAGGCAGTTTGAGTTCCTGCAGGCTCTGATAATCCTTCTTGGTGTCATCTCCTCTTCCCCAATTACGTGCCTCTGCACGGACACGATGCATTCTCAAGAGCTTCTGCCTCTTGTACATGCTTGCCTCTTTTCCTCTGCCGTCACGCTGTCGTCTGCCTTTGCTGTGCTGTGATTCAGGGAAGGTGAAACGAGCCACTGCAGCTCCAGCACTTTGCAAGGTCGTGAGTCAGACGTGCAGCGTACAGAAATGTCCTGGAACTTGGAGCTCCATTCAGGGAGCTGCTCTGCCACTTAGAGGCTTTGAGCTAGCCCTGCGTGGAGCCTGCGTGGTCAGACCGCGCTTGTGCACAGCTGTTGGCGGGAGAAAGGAAGGATTATTTATCCGTAGTGGGAGGTTTGGTTTTTGAGAAGCTTTCCATGTGTATGTTAACGCCTCCTTTCTGCTTCTGAAGAATTTACTCCTCTGAACCTTGGGATTTCCTCCAAGAATATGGGTGTATTTCGCCCCCACCAGCTAAAGCAGAAGGGGATAGTGTGGTTGCATCTGCTACTAAAGCATCTGTGACTTAAGTTTTTGCCTAACCGCGTCCAAAAATGCCCAGTTCCTGATATGTAGACCTCCTCCTCCATTTATTGAATCTATTGAGAAGAGTAGAGTACATGTAGAGACCTTATTCTCACATGCAGTGATGAAATCTTGGTTTGACCTTGCTGCTGAGTTTGCTGATTAATAAGTTTTGATCACTGCAGGATGTACAAATATACTTCAAACCGTTTCAAGACCCGTGCAGAGCAAGAGGTGAAGAAAGCAGAGCACATGGCAAAGATAGGTGAGTCTTCGCGGTGCACATGCATCCTGCTTTGCTGTAGCACAGAAAGAACTGAAAGAGGCTGCCTTGCTGGATATGGCCTGAAATTGCTTGCTTCTGTGATCGTTGTGGTTGCTCAGGAAATTAGTTATTACGGCGACTGTGGATGACCCAGACTTACTTCCATGCAATGGGAGCAATGTACATTGTTCCCTAAGACCGCTTCTTCTGGGGAATACGTGTACAGAGTAACCCTTAGAGTCACAGCTGTCTGCTGTTGCTCCATCTGAGGCCTGGCTAAGCTGTTACCCTGCACCTCTGCTCTCACTTTTTGCATATCTTTAGCTTTTGGTACTGTTCTCCTTCTGCTCCTTCCCTGTTGAGGCAATTGTTCAAAAAATAGATATTTATTCTGTCACTTGATGTAAAGTGATTGATCTGGGTGTACAAGAGAGTCCTGGTTTGTTTCTTGGGAATTTTTTCCCCTTCTGGGCATACCTTTTCTCCATCTAGTCTTCCCTCCCTGCTAAGTCCTGTAAGTCCTCAGGAGAAACCCAATTTGACATTATTGGGTATTCAGCAAAGGGAAATGACATAAGCATATAAATGTGGCATATAACTTCATTAAATTTGCACAAATTTAACATACAAAGTAGTCTCGCTAACCCCCCTGATGGGGAAATGCTGTAGTGAAGGAGGAATCTGGGAAGTTGTAAGACATATTGACCTTTATTTTCTGGTGGGTTTCATAAGTCCACTTCGTAAATCAGAGGCTTGTGTCCTCTCTCCCTGTGTAGGAGCTGCTCTAGGCACGTGTCCGTGCATGGGTCAGATGCACCAGTGACGGTGCCACGTTCAGCCTGTGCAGAGTCATTAAGGGCGGCGTGTTTTTGATCCTGTCCAAAGCAAAGCAGCAAAATGAAAGTGTGTAAATTTCTGTGTTCTCTGTTCCTCCTTTATGAAGTGCAACCTAAGAAGATAGACTTGAAACTATGGAGTTTAAGCAGATTTTGTCCTGTGCCTCAATCCTCGTAGATGAGTTTATTTGTCAGATTGAGTCCTATAGCCAAAGCAGGTGTTCAACACACACTGGCATTGCCTTCAAGAAGGTGCAAATCACATGATTTAGAGAGGCTTCTTTCTTGCAGCAGTCCATGAGGCCTTCATGATGTTTAAAAAGTGAGCTTTAGTGCCTTGACGTTGAAGAATGCTGCTGCTGGGTGTCCCAGTGCTAAGAACAGATACCATTGGCACGGAAACATAAACTCCTTTTCATCACCAAAGCTAGTCCACTGCCTCTGGTGATGAAGTAGGTGCTGAGCAAAGGGCTTTGAACACGGTGGTGAAAACTCACAGCAGACCTCAGACTTTTGTGCAAGATTTGATCACGTGAAGCCTCCAGGACTAGAACATTCTTGTAGCATTAACCTCAGCTTCAATGTCATAGATCCCATCTCTTTGCTTCTGGGAAAATGAATTTAATCTGTAACAACCAATTTCTCTTGTTCTGCTGTTGATAGAAAAAATTGGTTTCTCATTATCTCCAACATACGTTTTCTCTTGAGGGCACACACTGCTCTTCGGAGGGATCTTCACTGGGGAATGATTTGCAGCTTTCTCTTTCAAAACTAGGGATGCGTCGTTGTGGTGGGTTGACCCTGACTGGGTGCCAGGTGCCCACCAAAGCCGCTCTATCGCTGCCCCTCCGCAACTGGACAGAGGAGTGAAAGTGTATCGAGGTCAGGACAGGGAGAGATCACTCAGCAGTTACTGCCACGGGCAAGACAGTCTCACCTTGGGGAAATCAGTTTAATTTATTACCAGTCAAATCAGAGTAGGATAATGAGAAATAAAGCCAGATCTTAAAAACACCTTTCCCCCACTGCTTCTTTCTTACTGGCTCAACTTTACTCCCAAATTCTTGACCTTCTCCCGCTCAGTGGCGCAGCGGTTGGGAAATGAGGTCAGTTCATCCCATGGTGTTTCTGCTGCACCTTCCTCCTCAGAGGAAGGACTCCTCACACTCTTCTCCTGCTCCAGTGTGGGGTCTGTCCCCCCCACAGGAGCCAGTCCTCCACAAACTTCTCTGACGTGAGTCCTTCCCATACACTACAGTTCCTCATTAACTGCTCCAGGGTGGGTCCCTTCCACAGGGTGCTGTCCTTCAGGAAACAGGCTGCTCCAGTGCGGGTGTCCCACAGGGTCACAAGTCCTGCCAGCAAACCTGCTCCAGTGTGGGCTCCTCTTTCCATAGGTCAACAGATCCTGCCAGGAGCCTGCTCTAGCACAGGCTTCCCATGGGGTCACAGCCTCCTTTGGGCATCAACCTGCTCCAGCGTGGCGTCCTCCATGGGCTGCAAGTAGATATCTGCTCCACCATGGACCTCCGCAGGGCACACCCTGCCTCACCATGGTCTTCACCATGGGCTGCATGGAAATCTCTGCTCTGGTGCTTGGAGCACCTCCTCCCTCCCCTTCCTCACTGACCGTGGTGTCTGCAGGGCTGTTTCTCTCTCACATTCTCACTCCTCTCTCTGGCTGCAGTTGCTGTTGCACAGGGGGGTTCTTCCCTTCTTCAGTACATTATCACAGAGATGCTACCACCGTCACTGATGGGCTTGGCCTTGGCCAGCAGCGGGACCATCTTGGAGCCAGCTGGCATTGGCTCTGCCAGACATAGGGGCAGCATC